AGAGCGTCCCTTCCCGCGCCTTTCCTGGGCAGCCTCGCCGTGCCTGGGCGCGTGTCCCCAGGACTGCGCGGGGACGGGTCTGGGGTGGGCAGCTCTGGTGGGGTTTGTTCACTGGGTCAGGGATGGTGAGCAGCAGGGGATGGGTATGGGGACACCCAGCTCAGCTCGGCGGGAAGAGACGGACACGCCTGCTAGAGAAGTGGTGCTACCCGTGCCGGGCGGCGATGGCAGAGGTCATTTGTGTTCTTCGTGCCTCCCTCCGAAGAAAACCAGCCTCGATTGACAGTGCTCCGCCAGTCAAAGCTGCTTTGACAGCAGCAGCCCTGGCGGGGTGATTTGCTGGTTCTGAGCTTCAGAAGGAAGGACTCCAGCTTTCCAGCTGGCTCCTCTGCGGCGAGGAGGGGATCCGTCCGGAGGGCAGCAGAAACACTGCGGTGAAGCGAAAGCAGCTTTTGCAGTGCCTGGAGGTACCAATGCAAAATGGGTTTGCAGCCTCTTTGTCCAGCCCACGGCACGCTGCTGGGCGTCCTCCTTTTCTTGACACAACCCTGAGTTTCCTTTTTTTGGACCAGGAGCCATGAAAGAAAGTTTGGAAGATGAAAACAAAACCAAGGGCTAGAGAAACAGTGCCTAGGTCTGCTGGGGTACGTGAAGTGAAAGCCTTGAGCCATGAACTCAGACAGGACATGTACCTGCATTAGTGTTTGCTGTGAGCTAGAAAGCTTCACTGACCGCCCGTCATGCAGAAATTTGTATAAATAGGTTATATGTACTGCTGCGAGAGTAAGGAGAAGTGAGGAATCCCAAGCATGGCATTAATGCACCAAATATATGTGGTTCCTGTAGGTCCCAGGCACCAAGTACACTTACTCAGTGCATTTCTGCTGGTGCGAACAGACTTACAGCAGTGTTTTGTTTAAGCTTCCTGAATTCTTCCCCTTTACGCCTGACTAAATCCAAAGAAATACGAAGCACGTAACCTCCCTGTGTCCTTGCAGTCCGGCTGCCTTTCTCGGGGTCACACCCCTAGGAGGGGGCCTTTCCTCCTGCCCCAGCTGAAGCGTTACCCAGGGCCTAAGGGTCCGTGTGGCTCCTGCGTCGGGGCTGGCCGTTCCTCCTCCCGACCAGCAGAGCTTCCTAGAGGGGACGTTACCTTCTGCAGGGAGTTCTGACAGCTCAGCAACTCTGAGCTCAAATTATTATCAAAGGTGTCCAAATT